GTTAGAGCATGATCTCTATATCACGTCTCAAAACAAATGGTGCATAGATTGCTATTGACCGACCTCAAAATAGGTGCGACTTCTATATAAGTCCACTTACGATTGCTTAACATACCGCTAAATTTTGTTCCGATTCGAATAAATGATCATTCGTGGCCCAAACTTAGGATTGCAAGCCCAAGTATGCTGATTTGATCTCTTTAATCTAATAACCTTGAGATTTATTGTGTGGAGACTTTGGTTCTACCAATCCTCTAATGAATCTACAATACCTTTGGTCAACGCAGATCACTTAAACATCGTTGATCATTAAATGGTACTTATGAGAATTCCAAATGAATGATATACTTGACAAAAAGCAAATGCAACTTGCTGTGTGGAGGCTTTGGTTCTACCAATCCTCTAATGAGTTCCAAATGCAAGTTTCAAGATGGTCATCCAACTAACCACTAATTATTAACTTGCTTTATTTTATGTTTTTTATTCTTTTATGCTTTATGTATTATTTATCTTTTAACATTTTTACATTTCATGCCATTTTCATCTTTGCTCATTTGAGCATTTATTTTCTTGTCATTTTTACTTTGCTCACTTGAGCTTTTCTTTTTCCTTTTTCTAAGATACTTAATAATCAACATAAACCCTAAAAAACTTTTAATGACACTTGGACTATTTGGTTACTATCCTTGGCATGATGGAACAGTGGACTTTTCCTTGGACTTAGGATTAGAAACCTTGGCCTATCTTGGAGACCTTGTGATCTTATCTGATTATTTTGTCTGGAGCTCTTGAGGTTTACCTCAAGATATTGGGTTGCTTGTTTGTTTTTATGCGCAGGTTTTTGTGATTACACTCTTTGTTTTGTAATCTGAAATTCACCTGCATACAACTGTTACTCTGTCTAATTTTTGAAAAGACTTAATACACTTGAAGAGGTCTAGTATCTTTGCTTGCTTGGTTTCAATCCAAAGAATGAGAATTTTATCTTGGCTCATAATGTCAAGTTTTGGCTTCTTGTTGGTTAGATGATTCTTCTCCTTAGCTTTTACCTTATGCTTTAGGATAACCTCTTCTTCCCCTCCCATCTTCTTTAATTTCAAAAAATATTCTCCTTCCTTTTGAAAACTCTTATTGTTTTGGAACTTAAACCACTTTTATAATAAACTTGGACTTATGTCCATGCATTTTCAAAAAATATTTTCATAAATAAACTCCAATCAATTTAATAATACCTTGACATTTTTGTGAGAAGGCTAAAAATCAACCAATCTCATTTCAAACCATTTTGTCACTTTGGCTTTTATCTTTAAAACTCTTTTCTCAAAAGATTAAGGCTCTTGTCAATCCTTGTAGTGATGCAAACAATTATACTTCTACAATATATAGTGAAGAGAGATATTTTCACTTGGGTGTTGAGTGAGACATTATTGATTTTAAAATCCAAGCCATATCCTCCACTTTGAGATGATGTAAATTCTCCTTTCTCATGATTGTGGGTAGTAAACATGTTTTCCACACGAACAATGACGATGATATCTTATCTCTTAAAATCAACCAACACACTCGTGTTTCAAACTTTTAAAAGAGGAACTACGTGTACCCTGATCCCCTATTGCACGAAAGGTGATACGTAGGCACTAAAGGTTCGCAACCGCGGCGGGTGCAAAAATCATAAATAATATATTTCTTTTCTCACCTCCACCATCCATTTCATATATAGCACATTTTATAGCCAAAATATACAGATTTTACAAAGAGGCTCTTGCGGAGTACCGTAGATGTTTAGGGTGCTAATATCTTCCCTTTGCATAACCAACCCCCTTACCTTGAATCTTTCCCCTTTTTTTTTGGGTTATTCACTCTTTTCCCATTCCTTTGGAAACAATAAAGCGCGGTGGCGATTTTTATTTTTGATTTGTATATAGTCTAGTCAATCCAATGGCTTAGTCTTGAACATTTCTACCGCTACACATACTACACTAACGACTAAACAATCTGGTCGGACGAACCGACGTGCTCTGATACCAATTGTACCCCTATTTTCCCCTTTGATTACTATAAAATCAGAGTAACTTAAAAATTCCAAACAACATCAAAATAGGATGTCACATTTCATCATCTAAAAAATGGACCAACATTTAGTAAATAGATACATAACACATAAAACTCGGATGAACCAACGACATATCATCATTTCACTTCACTTTATTCATTCAACGAAAACAAATTCAATTATAGTTTAATAATCAATTCCAACAAAATATAGGCAACGTCTTCTCACATGAGAGAGAAATTATAAAGTTCTCATAATATTCCAAAATCAACAACTATCAAATAAGCACACAAGCGTTCATCCCCGATATTACGTATTAGAGCAAGACCCGACTCAATCTACGCACAACGAGACACATCTTCATACCTCAAGCAACTCTAATCTTCGTCACCTGCGTGTTACCCACGTGGAGACAACATTCAAACAGTAAGGGATGAGATATCATAACAATATAAACGAGTATATGGTAATAAGTAGATAAAGTTTAACATTCATAATCATAAGTTCATACTTTATGTATCAATCTCAACACACGATATGGTTTCAACAATCACACCCAACAAGCAACAAATCACATATTACTCAACAACAACATCATAATGCAATGAGACCGACTTCACCAACTTTATGCATGTGGTACCATAACAACGTCTCTATGCCATTTGGGCCACACCGTCACTTGCCATTAAGGCTACACCGTCACTTGCCATTACATCCACATCGTCACTTATGGACATGCATGCAACGCTAATATATTATGACAACAAATGCAACAACACAACACACATCAATAAAACAAGCCAACACAGCTTGCTGATCACACACCACTATTCATACATCATCGCAACTTCGCTACATCATGAATCTCTTCATATTCATCGTCATATTCTCAACTTCTCAATTACAATAAAACATTGAAATAAAACAAAATTCATAAAAATCATCTCCTTTTGGGTTCAAATCAATTTTATTGAATAAAAAGTATTTTTAGCTTTTCATAGCTTCGAACGACACGTCAAACGAACATCCGAGTAAAATGTTATGAGTTTTTGAAGATTTTTAGAAAATTTGTCTTTCTGTCTCAGTGGTAACCGGTTACCCTCTAGTGGTAACTGGTTACTGCAAAACAGTAACTTTTGGATTTTTAAAAATTTTCACGGTAACCGGTTGCCCACTAATGGTAATCGATTACTGCTATTTTCACAAAACACTCATTCTACCAAAGCTTTGGGTACCCAGTTACCTACTTATGGTAACCAATTATCCTTTACAAATTTTCTTCTCAGAATCAATTTTTTCACACGGTAACCGGTTTTTCTTCTGGTGTTAACCGGTTACCCTGCGCTATTTTTCAAAAATTCTGCAGTGTAACACGTTGCGATTCCTCTTCTCAAAACACCCAAAATCACCAATTTTCAACACCAAATAGAGACAATTATTCTACCAAACATGCACAATTCATCTTCATCATTTACGATCAATTTATATCATCAAAATCAAAGTTTTCACACTAAATCATCATTGTCAATCATCACAAATACAATTCACACCAAACACACAATCCACATAAAGATGAAAATACAATTACAATACCTAACTCTACCAATACCCACAATCATATAAGCCCTTATAGAATTAGAACCACACCTCTATCTTAGGTTTTAAGTTCTCTTCCCTTCTCCAATGGAGTCTTCCCTTTAGTCTTAGCTTTCCCTTCTCCCTGCTTTTCACTTCTACGATCGATTGAGAATAATGATCTCTATTCCTCGTGTTCTCACTTTTTATATATATTTTTTAATTAACACAAATTAGACCCCTAAATCAATAACTTCATACTATCTTTCCTAATTTTAATTATTTAATTAATCACTAATATTATAAATAACTAATAATAATAATAATAATAATAATAATAATAATAATAATAATAAAACCAATATCACTCATATTCTCAATTCACTTTATGTTCTCTACGCTTTTAGTGATACACCTTCACACTTCAACTTCTAATTTTTTAAATTATAACACATCACATTGTAAAATACATTATCACAGTCAACACATCATCTTATTTAATTATTTTTAAATAAAAATAACCTTAATTAAATTGAGGTGTTACATAAACCACTATTAATTGATTAAATCTATTTTCACTTCTAATTGTCCATAAAAGTTAAAACATATAAAATTTATCATTTTAAATTATAAAGCAAATCAAAATTTATTACCGTTTATTTTATCACATTAATTTTTATCATTTTATTGATAAAATTGTAAAAATCAACCATTCATTCAGAATAGAGGTTGATATTAGTAGTTTACATCTATCAAAACAAAATTATATTTAATAAAGAAAATTTATAAAGCAATTGTACGAGAAGTATTTCATTTTATTAAAAAAATATGAAATAAAGTGTAAAAATAATCGTATATTTTATCAAATTAATTAATATTTTTAAATTAATTAAATGATATCTTTATTTTTTAATATTATTTATTAATAATCGTATTAAAAATAAGAGATAAAATATTTTCCTCCCGAGAAAAGATCAAGACCTCCAAGTAAGAGTATTAACGGGACACGTAGATCCCCATGTCGTCATCAATTGGCGCGCTGAGATATTAGCGCGTCTAAGTGTGCGTGTCATTTTCGTTATTTACCATCATTTTTAGCCCATTTTATTTACCGACTATTGCCCACATCATCACTAGTTTATCTAGTCTAATTTTTATTCTCCTAAAGTTTTTCCCTCCCAACACTTTCCTCTCAAGTCCTCTTCCTTGACCGTAAAAATACCTCACACAAACACAAGCAAAAAGGGTGCAGAATTTCAAGAGAAAATAAAACGGAGAGAATTCACAGAAACTGTAATAGATTGAGATTGTGATTATACTATTACAGTATAATTTAGAATTAGAAAGTGATTCTGATTCTGATTTCGCTTTGATGAGTGAAAGAGGGAAGAAAGAAAAACCAACCGAGAAAAAAGAGAGGATGAAGAACATCTTCAAGAAGCTTCATATAGGTAGCAGCCACGATCCTCATCGATCCAATGAAATTCCGCCACCTGTACCATCGCCGTCTGACGCCGCCGAACATGTTACACCCACTCCTTCTTCCTCGTCGCCGTCTACTGCGACTATTCCTCCTGCTTCCACTGGTGGTGGTTTGTCTGCGGTAGTCAATCGGCAAGACTTTTTCTCATCGGAAGAGGAATTTCAGGTACAGTTAGCCCTAGCTATCAGTGCTTCCAATTCGGAGTTCCGTGGTGATGATCCGGAGAAGGATCAGATCCATGCGGCAACGCTACTCAGTTTGGGAGGACATCGGATTGATTCCAATAAGGATGATGTGGCGGAGGCGCTTTCGAGGCAGTATTGGGTGAGTTTTGTTGATTTTTCAATTGAACTTATGGCAATGTTGGTGTTTTTCATGATTAGTTGGAATGAACCTGGGAGGGTTAATTTTAGGGGTTTATGCTGAGTGATTTCTGTTCTAGTTTTTTTTTAATAACTTTAGTCAATCAGTTCTTGTAGTGGATTTATTTGTGTTTGAAGGTTAGATTTGGGGATTTAGACGTGACTACGGTTGGTGACTTGAGGTGAAATTTTGTTTCTGCCTGGAGTAGACTGAACTCCGAAAGTATATTCCAATTTCCATTTATTGGCCTTTAGCAGAATCTGTTATGCCTTGTGAATCTTAAGAATTATATGAATATCTCCCCATATTTATAGTCTGAATATGCACTGATCTGATTGTTTGGACTGACGTAGGTTGAAGATTTATGTGCCTTTGGTAGTGTAATACTAATACTAGCTAGAAATTAGAAATGTGGATCATTATTATTTTATAATCTTTTAGACGTTTATTTGCGTGCTTGGCAATTGACATTGAAAAGTAATGCACCTTCATGATTGGATTTTTAAACTGGTTCATTCAGTGTATATTGAGATGAACTTTCTAATGTAATCAGCAATTGTAGATGAACTTTCTAATGTAATCAGCAATTGTATGTTTAACAGCTCTTGCGACTATAATCGACTTTCTAAGAGGATATACTTGGAGAAATTGTATTTTGACACAAACTTTGACAACAAATTAGATGGTTAACACAGTTTAAATATGTGGTTAGTTAAATTCATTGGATGGTTAATGAATGTAGCGAGTTGTTGCAACTGATTAACCATCCATTGAATGTAATGAACCGGGTTTTTGAATGTCCGTAACCACTACTTTTTAGATGTTCTAATATACATGATATCTACTAGCCATTGAAATTATGTTCAAACGATTTTCAGTTGTTCAAATATACAGGATATAATTAACCACGACTTGTGTTAAAATTTACACTTGAAAATTGTAGTTAGACATTTAAAATTGTAGTTAATTAAGTTCAATTGATGATTAATGAGTTGCGACACATTGTTATACTTATATCTATTAACTAACCACCAAACGTAATTAACATGTATTTCTACTACTTAACCTTCTAAATTGTTGTTAAAATTTGTATGTCAAAACAACACAACTCATATTATTAAGAGATTAATAGCTATGCACTAACGGTGGAATTTTTTCTTACACATGCATCCAATTAAATCACATCATGTAGATATTTGTGGAGATATTTTAGGAGCTATTCTATTAAAAGCACACTTTTATATGATTTGACTGGATGCACGTGTAAAAAAAAATTATACCACCCGTGCATAGCTATTAATCTCTTTAATACAAGTTGCTTTGATTTTCTACCTAATATTTTTGTGCGTCGTTAAACATGTTTTAGTCCCCCTATAAAATCATGAATTTTCAAGGTTACCTACATAAACTCTATTCAATTTTAGTTCATATTTTGAAAACTCTTCATAAAGAATGGGTGCTTTTAGTCCCTCTACTGGGATTAAAAACATAGACCCTATAAAAGCATAATAGGGACTAAAATTGAATAGAATTTATGTAAATACAAAACTTGCTTTTTTGTTTTTAGGTAAAATTTCTATAGACGCACACATGCTCCATCACTTGCAAATGCTTACTTGCAACAAGTGAACATGCACTCCTTCATTTATATTCATCAGTTGAGCACCAAAATTGAAACAAATAAGTCATAACTTGAATTTTGTGAACATGTAATGTTGACAAGTTTTTTATCTCAATTAATACTATTTTCACCTTTCCATTAATGTCATTGTGCATTTCATTTTTTGTTGGGACCAGGAATACAATGTGCTTGACTATGAAGAGAAAGTAGTTGATGGTTTTTATGACATATATGGCCTCTATAATGACCCAGCAATGCAAGGAAAGATGCCATCTCTAGCTGATCTTGAAACAAACTCAGGTGGTTCTAGCTTTGAAGTAGTCATAGTTAATAGAACAATTGATCCTGCCCTGGACGAGCTGGTGCAAATTGCACACTGTATAGCATTGGACTGCCCTGTCTCTAAGATTGGTATTTTGGTGCAAAGGCTTGCTGAACTTGTTACTAGCCATATGGGCGGCCCTGTAAAAGATGCTAATATTATATTAACAAAATGGACAGAAAGAAGTACAGAATTAAGGACATCTCTTCACACAAGTGTATTACCTCTTGGGTCCTTAGATATTGGGCTCTCTAGGCATCGCGCTTTACTTTTCAAGGTTAGCACAATGGCTTCTTGGTGCTTGAAACCTTGTGAGCCATAAAAAATTTGATGTTAAGTCTAGTCATTATCTGCAAAAGATTTTGTTTACATTACATGATATGATATGTGCAGTATTATTAAGTACTGCAATCACTTAAACCTTATTTTAAAGAAGAAATGATTTATGAATTAATAAAAATGAATCTGATAATTTCTTTTAGAATTATTCACACCGGGAAAGTATTCCCTGCTAATCTAGCCTAGGCATGTATTCTGAAATAAATTTTGAGGATGTAAGTAAGTATACTTAACTCAATGGGAAAATGCTGCTCAATCAATTAAGATGGAGTCATCAAATTTTAGACTCACTTTGTCATCAGTACCTCTAAAACTGTTGCAGGTTTCTAGGCTTTGAATTCATAGTGTATACTTGCCAAGTCTAATTTTGCATATTGAGAGTTAATTGTATTAATAAAATTAGTATATTTTTTGTGCGTTTTAGATTACTCTTGCTCTTTTTCTGATAAACCTGTTGGCTGTGTAATACACCTTGTGTTTTTATGGATGTAGATATTAGCAGACAACATTCAGATGCCTTGTAGACTGGTTAAAGGTAGTCATTACACTGGTGTTGAGGATGATGCTGTCAACATTATAAAATTAGATGATGAAAGGTTAAGGCTTTTGTTATTCTTCTATTTTTCGTGTATTTGTTGTTGACTTACTCATTCGTATGTGCATGTCTATATCTTTCCCTTTTTTATCTTCTATTATGTGTTAGCCATGGTTGATAATCATTGGAAGTCTCTCTAAGTGTGCCTAGAAATTCCTGTGGATATTCTGGTCCCTTGGTACTGACTACTGATATTATACTGTTATGCTCTCAGGGAGTTTTTAGTTGATCTCATGGCTGCTCCTGGAACACTCATCCCAGCTGATATTTTAAATGCGAAGGATAATGCCTTTAAGTCTTACAACCCCAAGATTGTGCCGAGTTTGCTTTCCGCTGAGGAAACTGAGCTTTCTTACTCAAGACCTATACCTCCCTCTAATGGTGAAGGCAGTAGTCAGACTTCTGTAATAAAAGGTACGCTGCCTTGGAATGGACAATCATATACTGAGAAGTCAGAGTATATGCCTTCAAACTTTGGTTTGAACAGAGACACTGGTGTTGGTCCATCTAAAATTCCTAATAGAGGGAGTCCTAATCAACGGGAAAATTTGCCACCTTCATATGCTAATTCTTTGTACAAAGGTACTCTTGGAATGAATGCAGTGGGTGATGGGACAAGATTGAATGTCAATGTTGTGCCATATGCCCAAAACAACCCCACCGACCCTCAAAACCTTTTTGCAGATCTGAACCCATTCTTGATAAAAGGGACTGGGAAGTCCTTTGTGCACAACAAACCTGTGGAAAATAAACCTCCTGAGCACAGTACAAAAAACAATGCCATTTCTGGTCGGCCCGTGTCACCACTGATGTGGAAGAATCAGCATGCCTACAACGAAGTCCCCAGAAAAACTAATCATAACCCTAGTGAATATTACCCTCCTTTATTAAATACCGATCTCAGCACTTCCAATTCATCATACAATTCAAATATAAATAATGATATTAGTTCTCAAACCTCTGGACAAATTACTGGTTCAGCCTCATCAGCTGGCGTAGGTGAGCTGAACTGGACCGACGGTCTCAATGCTAATTTTAGAAGGGGTGATTTAGAGAGTTCTCAAAATGTCATGGTAAAGGGATTTAACGAACCCGAAAGCACTGAACTCGGATATCGTGACAGGAGGAAGTGCATATATGACAGATTCATGGGAAGCAATTTGCAATTAAATGATTCCGATGGTCCTAGCTCTTCAATTGATTCCATTACAAACCGGGTTGATCAAATATTGGATGATGCAGATGTTGGTGAATGTGAGATTCCATGGGAGGATCTGGTTATTGGTGAAAGAATTGGTCTAGGTAATGTGAATGATTTGTCTTTATCCTGTTGTAGGAATGTCATTAATATTTACAGTTAAGTTGACTTGGCTCTGATTTTTTATTTCTATAAGTATTTAAGTGAAGTTCGCATCAGTTGCATACAATCAGCAATCACTTAGATCTAACATTAATTTCTATTATATTTTTTTTATCGAATAAATGACTGAGGGTTCAAATTCCGATCATTATATTAACATTTTCCGTTTCAATTTTTTATTTTTTATTAAGTTACTATTTTTGCTCTTCTATTTGTGCAAGCATATAGTCTGTAGTTTTTTTATAAGCCATATATTTCGTAGGTCATCGCAAACATGTCTTAACTTCACAAACTTTCCTATTTTTCTCGTGTGATTTACCTTTCACTGGGATTGAAAACCATTGTTAGTAGTTGTTTGGGATGTTCCTGGCATGTTTAAATCTTGCATGTCTATTGATGATTATTATTCTGTTAAATCTTCCTGCTTTCTTTCAAATAGGTTCATATGGTGAGGTATACCGTGCGGACTGGAATGGCACGGTGAGTCCTATAATTTCTTTATGTACTTGCATGGAAGATTATTGTTGTAGATTGAAGTGAAAGTTGTTTGTATTGTCTTAATTTTAGTGATGACAGTTTTATACTCTGTCTGCATGATAGAACAACAGCAACAACAACCAGGACTTATCCCATTAAGTAGGATCGGCTACTTGCATCAAATTACACCACAATGTTCTATCAAAAATTATGTTTCTATCCAACTTATTTTTCTCGAGATCTTTCTTAATAGTTTCTCTTGTAGTTTTTTTTAGGTTTTCCTCTATATCTAACTGTTTGACTACCCTCCATCCGATCCTCTCTCCTTTAGCACAAATCTTTTCTCTGCATGCCCAAACTGCATAAGTCTAGTTTCCACCGTCTTATCTTTTCTTATATAGGTGCTACCCTAACACTTAATACTGTAATTTATATTATTTTTTTAGTTTCTGTTTTCTAATAATAAAGAATGTTAACCATGTTGGAGTTGTTTTTACATGCCATTTATCTTCGTTTACAATGTCACAGTGGCATTATTGTAATAAAGACGATGGCATTACTAACTCACAGTCACAGTAGGTACAGATTTGGGAATGACTTAATTTAACTTATAAAAAAACTTAAAAGTTCAAGAATAACACTTAGAAAGTTATCGGCTATTGAATGACTTGAAGTCCCCTTTTTATTTTTATTTTTTATGTTTGCTTTGCTATCTGTCATACCACAAGTTTTTTTTCTTCTGAAAGGTAATGAGTTGTTTTCTCTGATTTTTCGAATATCAGGAGGTTGCGGTGAAGAAATTTTTGGATCAGGATTTTTCAGGCGCTGCCTTGTCCGAATTCAAAAGAGAAGTAAGCTCTATTTAGTTTTTTTTTTTTTTGCATGCAACGAATATTTTTATTATTTGCATAAAATAAATAGAAAGGAAACAGTGAATCCCTGTGAACTTTAAGAAATTATTATGTTTCTCTCAAATTAAAACTAATCAGAAAGTTTGGATTGAGATACCAGTCAGGGAAAAGTAAAAAGTTACTTGCTGGGGAGTGGATAATGTGTTAGAAATGCAATAATAAAATGAAAAGAAACAATTATATATGAAAGGTTCATCATAGTTGTGTACTTAAATACCAAACCTAATCTCTTTTCCATTCTTTTGATGCAAGGTACGGATAATGCGTAGGCTGCGTCATCCAAATGTTGTTCTTTTTATGGGTGCTGTCACCCGCCCTCCCAATCTCTCAATCATTTCCGAGTTTCTCCCGAGGTAGATATCTTTTACTTTTTAAATCATTAATTTTTTTAACAAAATAATGGTACTTATCAGCCACGTTGGTCTTGGAAGTTACTCTTTCCATATTTGAGCGTTACACTGGCATTACTGTTATAAAATTTTACAGAGGAAGCTTGTACCGAATTCTTCATCGGCCTAATTGTCAGATCGATGAGAAACAAAGAATAAAAATGGCTCTTGATGTGGTATGAAATAATTATCCATCTTCCCTGTCACCTCTCCATTACATTGATGAACTTCAAATTTTAGAACATCCCAATTTACAGGCTAGGGGTATGAATTGCTTGCATGCCAGCACTCCTACAATTGTTCACCGAGATCTGAAGTCCCCAAATCTTTTGGTTGATAAGAACTGGAACGTTAAGGTATATGATTGAAAATTCATAAGAACTGCTAAACCACTTGCCTTATTTGTTGTTTCTCTCGTTTATTTGATTCCTAAATTCTTTCGTTGCATATCAAATCTACATATCTGTAAGTTTGATGAAGTCAACTTGGTTAATTTTGGAAACATGATGTTGAATATGCTATGACTTTTTGTGCAAGCGCTGTGTATTTTGGGTTACATTTCTGATCCCGTGCTTGACTAAATATGTTTCTTATTTTCATTATTTTGGAAGTATGGTAGTGGGATACCGTAAAGTGGGTGATGTAGACACTGGCTACCATATGCTTTTTGTTTTTGCAATGATGACAGGGAGGTGCAGAAGTTGACAATCATCTAAATTGTTTATTTGGTGTTTCTGTGTCTAGTTAAACTTGAACGTGCTTGACTTATTAAGTATATTGCCATGCCTATATGAGCCCAATTGATGTCATATGGGAAGGACTTTCTCTGTCCCAAAATATAGGACCCTCGTTGGTTTTTTCTTATCCCTTTTTATAAAATTCCTTTTAAGTTTTCAACTTCATTAATGGTATTTTTACCAACATATTTATGATTATTTTCTGCAATATGTAATAAGTACTCTTAAAAGGTAAGTTTGTAAAACAATATCAATTTTTAACAACTTTAATACTACAACCAACTTTTTTAATTTCTGTGATTTACTCAACTGGGTTATAATATTTAGAGAAGAGTGTAGTACCGTTTATGGCTGTGGGATTTGACATTTAGGGGGATATGTGAGGTTGGTACTGAAGCGAATCCGTTCCAACTAATTTCATAAACTAAATGTATTAAACCCTCATGGTAGAAAGACTCTCAAACTGACCAACCCAAAAAATAAAAGTTGGGGTTGGCTTAACAAAATACCAATACTATCCTTGCAGTTTGGATTCCAATAAAACTTGTGAATATTTTTCTAAACTGAATATAGGATGATTTGCTTGGTTATGATAATATACATCTGTTAAATGGCTACAAAATTTCTACCGTAAAACATTGCATAATAAAGACTGCCAAAACCTGAAAACAAGTATGAGTATATCAAAAGATTCCGAATACAAGTTCAACCAGAATTTTTGTATGTTGAAAGAGGTTGTATATGAGAAGCATATAAGAAAAGGCAAGCATTTTTCACTTTGGATTTCTGTTGTTGATTTGATGTTATGTTTTGTTGAAATTGTATAGTTTAAAATGAAAGATACAACAGTTTGATTTGGGTTATAGTAGTTTTTTTAAAGTATGTTAACTTAAACCAGCTTAAAATGAAATTTAGGTTCCAAAACAACCTATGGCTAAAAAGGAAACCTGCCTATCAGTTTGAGTTGGGTTGCTTAGGTTTTCTTGAATTATGAACTGTTATCATGGCAAATGTGTATATATAGTGGCTATTTTCACGTGGTTGGTAGTTTATTTTCTGGACATTTCCTGAACTGCGGAGAAATCACTTTCTGTGCTTTGTGGATTTTACTTTTACTTGATCTTGAAAGCAAGCCATTATTTCTACAGGTATGCGATTTTGGGCTGTCAAGGTTGAAGCATAACACATTTTTATCATCCAAATCAACTGCTGGAACGGTGAGAATTAAGAAATTTGTTTAGTCACATGCACAGTTTGTGCCTTATCTGTCTTTTGTATATCTGACTTGATTATTGTCAACTTATTAGCCGGAATGGATGGCTCCTGAAGTTCTTCGCAATGAACCTTCAAATGAGAAGTGAGTTATTATTAATTTAAGATTAAGTTTTTTTCTGGATTATAATTTTTACTTTATATCTTATTTTTATAATCAGTGGCTAAATCTTTACAAAGTAAAATCCAGCTGCCAGCCTTCTCCTAACAAAAAAATATACCAACTGCTTCATAACTCAAGTAAAATTGGTTTAGTAGGCCTTTTTAACAGGCTTTTGCTTGATAATTTTTTTCCACATAATGCTGTTTTGACAACATTTTTATGGTTTGCGATTCAGTGATTCCCTTTTATTTTGTTTTATAAAAGTGATTCCCTTTTTCATTCACTGAATTATATTTTACCCAATATTCTTAATAAGTGTGGATTTTCATTTTTCCATGTCTTATGTGATAAAATATTTAATGCTTGGTAGACAAGGTGACTGCTGTTTGAGAAGGATGATGCCAAAATTTCTGATGAACATTTAGAGTCATTTATATACTAAATTATGTCAATAGCTGTGTCTCTTGAGCTTAACTGTGTTAATTATCATGTCAAATGCACAGGTGTGATGTTTATAGTTTTGGTGTCATCCTATGGGAGCTTGCCACTCTAAAGTTGCCATGGACTGGAATGAATCCTATGCAAGTTGTTGGTGCCGTAGGTTTCCAAAATCGCCGCCTTGAAATTCCTATGGAAGTTGATCCTTTAGTAGCAAGAATAATCTGGGAATGTTGGCAACAGTAAGTCGGTAGCCTTAGATTTACTGTTATTATCTTCTATATTTCATCGTTTAAAATGTTTAACAAAATGTAGATTTAGACTTCATTTCCACTTGATGATCTTTCTCTGCCTCTTCTCTTTCTCACTCTTGTGCCAGGGATCCAAATTTGCGCCCCTCGTTTGCACAGCTGACGGTGGCTCTTAAGCCCTTGCAGCGTCTGGCTCTTCCATCTCACCAAGACCAGGTAGCTCCACCTCTGCCTCAGGAGATTTCTGTAAATTCTACCCCATGAAGAATCTCCCTTTTCTCAAGTGTGAATAACTAGGATTTCTGCAGTTTACTCGTGTCCGTATAAATGTAACCAACAAAATAAAAGGAAAAAAAAGAAAAGTAAAACTTGTAACGGAGAATTATTGAGGAATGCATCAAATTACCAATTTCTGCTGTAGCCAAATAACTACAGAGCGATTTTTGTATTGTGTGGAATCAAAACTCGGTTATATAATGTGTAAATTACTGTTCATTAGTAAATAATTAAAATATTTGATTTATATAATATGTAAATATAAAGTAAATTTTTTGTTAAAATCAAGTCAAAATTTTAACTAATATAATATGATTATCTTGTATATTTGATGGGATTAAAAAAACTAAACTTGGATGTTTTATTAACAGCAACAAAAACAAAAATTACCCTAAGCGTAATTTGTTTTTGCTCTTGTATAAAAATTGTTCAGGGTGTGGCCAATATCATTGGCTTACATTACTTATTAAACTTTAATATCTTCAAAAAAAGAAAAAAGAAAAAGACATATCTTATGAAATACATGCCCCACAATGTAATTTGTGGATTTCCATATTTTTTTATTCCACCTACCACATATCTCATGGATTTTCTAAAATATCAGTCTAAAAAATTCATCCTAACTACTTGTGTCTCTTTAGTTGAAGTCAACTACTTGTGTCTCTTTAGTTGAAGTCAATACGGAAGTGTTAGTCATGTCTTTTTGACGATCAATGTTTGTTTTTTTGTTTCTATTGAGGATCAATTTCGCCATTGATGAACCTGTTAAGTTACATGTCGTATCAAAAGTGTATTTTCGATTTAGTTCTTGACTAAAATCAGAAGTATATTTTCGGTTATGTATCAGACAGTTTTTCCCTATTTTATGTACAAGAGTGTTATTGGTTAATACTTGTTTCGTTTATTCTACAGGTATTATGGATGAGAGACCATACAAATTGCGACACGAGAGACTTTCATAGCATACTTCCGTGCGTAGGGAAATGATTCAGGCTCCTAGATAGGCTGTGCCGGATGCGCCCATTGCCGATGGTGTTTCTACTTCCACTTTGTCGACCAGCAGGCGAAAGTCTCTTGTCCATCCATCTCCGCCTCCATCCTGCCGCAGACGTACGTCCTCACCGCATGTATCCGGACCAAGAGAGACATATGGTTCCCACCCACATACTACACCACATTCAGTCCATACCTCTCCACCTCCTTCCTCCCAAGGACGCCCTATGGTCTTTGAGACATGAAAGACTTCTTCTATCCAGCCTACACCGGTTCTCACCCAATAGACACCAGAGGTCACCCAGTCTGCATCGACTGCCTATCCAAAACCTGCATTAGAGGCTCATCCACAGTCTGCATCAGAGGCGACACTAGAGGCGTCTCAAGTTTTTTGAGGAAGATCTTCTGATTTGTCATTATTATCGTTGTATTCGGACCATGTTCCCAGATACTTATGGGATACAGAGATATGTACTTTAATTTAACAATTGTTATGTATTGTGTTTATTTTTTCTAAGTATTGTGTTCATTTAAGTCTTGCGTGTTTATCTATGCATGCAGGACTGCGATACACTCAAGATAATTAACCATGCTAAGAAGATCAATCGCCTGGAACCACCCGTCGAGTCATAGTTCCAGAAGCTGCTCTATATCACTGGGCTGCGTGATTTAGTCTTATGTGGATATACTACCGTTAATCATGGTATGATTAACACTTTTGTTGAGAGATGGCATCACGAGACATCGTCGTTCCACATACCACATGGTGAGATGACAATCACATTGGACAACGTCACATGTCTGTTGCACCTTCCGATTAGAGGGAGGTTTTTAGATCATGAGAGGTGCACCAAAGAGGAGACATTGGATATGTTGGTGGAGTACTTAAGAGTTACTCCAGAGGGTGCTATGACTGAGATCCATAGAATTCATGGGTGTCATATCGGATTTAGCTACTTGCAGAAGGTGTTCACAACTGAGCTAGGGCGTGCACGACAGGCTGATGGTGACCATCTGTAGGTAGCCCAGCACAGAGCACGTGCTATGATGGCATATCTTTTGTATCTGGTTGACACATAGGTTTTGTGGATACTAGTGTCACTTACACTGATATCATGTAATTTCGGTTCTTTAATGATTTTCAGCGGACCGCTGAGTGGAACTAGGGGCAGCTGGTTTGGTTTATTTGTATCAGAAGTTGTCCAAAAGCATTAAGTGGAATACAAAGCAGATGACCGACAACATCACACTTTTGGTGATAACATTTCTTATTCTTATGTTATTTTTGTCTTGTTACTCTCAAACTCCATACACGATTTCCAATTTTGAAGTAAGTTTTCTCAACTTTGAACTCTCTCTACAAGCATCATTAATGGTTACTTTGTTAATAAAAAATTTAGACATCATAGCCCTAAAGTTAATCATACCCTTAGTTTTCATTTATGTTACTTGAGTGATGTGAATTTTGAGTTTGAACTTTATGAAAAAAATTAGGTTTTATTTGGTACCAACATAAATTAATGTTCATCTTTGATTTATAGTTTAAGTTGTTTACATGGTTGAATTCGTATTGAAAAATGAAGCAAATTTCATGTTTATACTTTTGCAAATGGTTGAGAAATGAGGAAGTTCCAAAAATAAAAAATGGTAGTGTTTGTTCTGCGCGCGAAGGAGGAAGAAGATGAAGTTCAAAACTCAGAAATGAGTTTATTTTATATTTAGTTAAAGTTGTTTTACTACCGGATATAAGAGTCACCCCAGTGACAGAGCGCGTGGGTATAAGGTATTTCTACGCTGCCTGGTCATGGGTTCGAGCCAGGCGTGGGACATTTTGTTATTTTTATGTTTGTTTCATGCTAATCAGGTGCAAGTAAGCTAAGGACGCGTATGATGCACCCCTCATACATACCATCCATCTGCCAGGCAAGTAGATCCAATGCACCATACGTGCAGCCCATGGTACACTCCAATAAACCAGCAACATGAGATCCATACAGGCGTTTGGACTCTTCAGTTGGGTTTTTTATTTTCTGATCTCATACCCCCTAATTCTATACCAAGCGCAGACCCATGCACACTTTTTTTTTATTTCTATTTTCTGATTTCAAACAAATACATATTGGGCCTAATCATGTTTACTACTTTTTACCATCCTTTTTACTTTTAAACACCCAACCCATTTATTTTATATTTTCATTATTTTTTATTTATCTATTTATTTTATTAAAACTAAAAACACAACATATTTTTTTTAAAGATAATTTAATTTAAGTATTTTATTTTATTTTTTATTAAATTAAATTCTATTATGTTCTTTTACATTGTAAAAACAATTTTTAAATTAATACTAATATTCAAACTATTTTCTAAACAAATTATTAAACTTAGATTTATTTTCTTCTTAAAATTCAATTAACTCAGATTTTAAATTTTGTTAAATAATTAATTAATTTCTTTTGTAAATAAATTTAATTAGTTTAATTAGGTTAATTACTAAAAAAAAATTCTCCATCAAAAACCCTAAAAATCATTTTCTTTTCTTCTTCATCTTTACATTTTTGTGTATTATTATTGTAATTCATATACAATGGTTTGTAATAGTAATTAGGACTTTATTTCTTTCTTTCCCCTATTCACAAATTGTACCCTCATATTCCAAAGCGTTGTATTAGCGTATGACATTTAAATTCCACAATTTATCGCTTTCCTTATTATTGCAAGTAATTAGAGTTTGCATGACAATATTTAAAATCAAACTTAGCAAAATCCTAATTCAAAGATAAATACTTGAAATCAAACACCTTGCACACTTGCACCTCTAGGATAACCCACACTTGTTGCCTCAGATAAAAACAATCATGTCCCTCGAACGTGAGATGTTTTAGCAAAAGACCCTCGATTAAAAGATCATAGTCCCTCGATGACCCTTCAATGTTGCCTTCGATAAATGATCTTAGTCCCTTATGACAATTGCTAAAACATCTTATAAGTTGCCTTCTATGACTGTACGATGACTCGCGCCCGTCCCTCACATCCAATGATAAGGCTCTCTACCAATCAATAGTAAAATAGCACTATCTAAAGGAGGAGGAAAAGAACAATGACTTTTTGAGTAGGTAGATTGCTCGTAATTGCTTGCTCACAAACAAAACCATTTACACCTCACACTTTCAAAAATACTTTTCAAACAAACATTTTGTATACATTCTCAACGATACGAGAATCATTACAAAATGGTCTTACATTAACATTTTCAAACATCTTTCCAAACACTTCCTTTCAACAAATATTTTCAAAACCAACACTTTGTATACATTCTCAACGATGCGAGAATCATTGCAAAGTTTTCCAAACTTAGGCGTTTTCAAAATATTTTCAAACTTACACAAACACAAAGCATTTCAAAGTGATCAAGCAATTAAGAGTCCGTAGATAACTACGGATGAAAAGGGTGCTAACACCTTCCCTTTTCATAACCTACCCCCGAACTCAAGAAAATTCTCAAAAGGTATTTCCGGTTCTTTTCACCCTTTCCTTTATTTGATAAAAGAAAAGTCGGTAACGACTCTTGCTATTCGCAACAATTGCGATAAAACGCAAAACACCCAAGTCAGTTCTCCCACTGTATTATAATATTCAACTTTCAACTCCTCCGCCAACAAGTTTACTGCATTAGACTTATGAATCAGAGAATGATCAAATAGTTAACCTCTAATATGCATATGGAGTTGACATGATGCATCGTCTAGGGCGGGGGTCATTTTATCAATAGGTAGATGAAAGAACAATATCGTAAAGTACCATCTCTCAGCGAACGTTGATAGCAACATGTGATTTATATAAGTATATTCAATTTATGCAATATATTTCAGACCATCCCTCATCAGGTTGCATATGTGTAAATATCTTCCGGCCATGGCTGACACACTTGTCACTATATTGCAAAAAAGTTGTATATGTAATAAATACTCCCTCTGTCCTATAATGAGTGATTC